CTCAAGAATTACTAGTTTCATTGGGAAATCAAATCTCTCTCAATAAATTTTAATTTGGTCTGAACATTTGTGGGCCTCCAAAGTGTCTCATTCCATCCACATGTGCTCACAAACTAGTGGCTGCTTGATGCCACTGCCTCATATTCTCCCAATTTTCCACTTATACAGTTCTCTTTGGTTGTGGCCACCGTCTGGGAAGCTATTTGAGAGAGACTGAATATCATAATGGAACAAGGTCCATCAGGAGAATGTAAATGCCCACACCCAAAGTGCTGCCTCTAGAGGCCCTTCATGCCCAGGTAGCTGAGTGATAGTATACTCCATCCACAGACAAAAGCTGTATGTGATTTCTATGCCACAGTGTTGTAACCTCTATAATCAAAGCATGGTTTCTGTTTAGTAAAGTCCCTCTGTCTTAGTTTCATTTTCCGTTTCTGTGATAAACATACCTGACAAAAGCAACTCTAGGGAGACGGTTTATTTGGCTCAAAAGTCCAGTTTATAATCCAACACTGGAAAAGTCAAGGCAGCAGGAATTCAAAGCAACTACTTACATTATATCCGCACCCAAGTGCAGAAAGCAGTGAATTTAATGCATGTGCTCTGCCCATGTTCTCTGCTCTTGTGCAGTCTAGAACTTCTTGTTTAGGAAATGCGGCACCTCCTACAGTGGGCGGTCTTCCCACCTCAGTTGATATAATCACCCAGACATGTCCAAAAACCCTTCTCCCAGGTGATGCTCCCAGGTTTTGACAAGTTGACAATTACCACTATGACACACTCTGTACCAGCTCAATGGGCCTTTTGTTTTTCAAACTTTACTTAGAATCTCATTATCATCACTAAGGAAAATGGTTTCAGTTTGGGATCTCCATATTTCTCACTATAGAGGGGCACAGATTCCAGAGTACTCACTCTCTCTTCCTCTAAATATTCCTGGTGTGTCCCCAGAACAAACTTTTCTGAATTACCAAGCAAAAGGCTTAATCAATGCAGTAATGGGGTGTGGTCCAGGAGCCACATCTGCTTACAACACAGCCAGCCAATGATTCACATTTCCCTTCTGATCTTTCTTCCTCTATTCACTGCCCATCCCCAGATTATCTTAACTGCATCTCCTTCTCTGTTCCTCCCAGCTCTCACACTAATCCATTCTTCAAGCCAATATAATTTGGATAACTTTTGCTTATTTTTCTTACAGTAGTGTGAGTAAGGAAAGTGTTTGGGGCTAGAAATTGTTTTCAAGTATTACAATCACACTTGTGACATCAGACCTGCTTGATGTCTGAAAAACACAGATCTCAAGGTTGGGCGTAAACCTAAAACTTCACACAGGTCTAGACTCTGCCCCGTATAAGATTCCCCAGTCTAGATTTTTACATTTTTGACAAGAACAGATGAGGTTCTGAGATTTCCTTTTGTGGTAGCTGTATACCATTTCCCCTACACCAAGGTGGTTTTGTTTGCTGCAGCTTCCTTTCAATACTTCTAAACCTACCACTGTGAAGACAGGAAATGTCTATTACCTCTGATTTATGACCCCTCTGTAGTCATTTGGAAATAATAATCAGGTCACTTGTACCTTCTCATTCCTACATTAAATATCCATATTTTCTCCAAAGATAACTTATGACACAGTTTGGAGTTATTTTAAAACCTTAACTGTGTTCCAATTTGTCTCTTGACATATGTGTCTAACTCTCATAGAATACGATGCTCAGTGTTATTCAGCAATAGGAAGAAATAACATGGAAAACCATTGAAAATATTGTGATAAGTCAAGGAAGTCAGTTATAAAAGGTTGACTATAAAATGGCTTCTTTTGTTTATGTAAATGTCTAGAATAAACAAAAGTAAAGAGAAATGAGACTGGTGACTTTCTAGGGCTGAGGAAATTAAGTGATTGAGGGTAACAGCCAAGGGATGAGAGGCTTCTTTTTTTGGGGGGGGCATAAAATGTTTTATAAATGATATGGTTGGGCTGGGAGTGGTGGCACACACCATTAGTCCCAGCACTCCGGAGACAAAGGCAGGCCAGTGTCTGTGAGTTCAAGGCCAGCCTGTTTTACACAGTGAATTCCATGCCCCCTGGGACTATAGGAAGACCATGTCTCAAAAAGACCAAAACAAAACAAAACAAAGCAAAACAAAACAAAATGTAAGGTCATGGTTGTAGAACTCTGTGAATATACTAAAAGCTATTGAATTGTACCCTTCAAATGGGCAGATTCTGTGGAGTGTGATTCATGTCTCCATAAAGCTGTCAAAATGACCATGACATTCAGATGGAAAACAAGTATTCAGAAGCAGAAGCAGAGCTTTAATCTGTATTTCAAGTTTTCTTCTTTCACTCTCTATAAATTAGATGAGCTAATAACGTCTGTTTCACCTTCTTGCCAAGGTTGGTGAATCATAGTTTGCAACATCATAATTATATAAGTTATTAGTATGAGTGACTCTTAACCTCTTGTCAGGATTACCAATGCCACTCACTTGTTAGTAATTCATTTGTTTTACATATGATGGAAGGAAAGTCTTTTCAACATTTATTACTCAGTTCAGAAGAATGTTGGGACACTTAGTACTCATTATATAAAGTCCAATTCTTCACCTTAATATTTATAGTTTTCTTTCAATTTTGTACCATGTCTTTTCATTCATCACAGCCAAACTACGTTTCAATCATAGAATAATTCCATCTTCCATGAGTACTTTGCATATTAACCCTTTAACTAGTCATTCCTATGAAACAAAATATTCATTATTCTGCACTGAATATTTATGTCTCCCCAAATCATTTAAGTTGAAGTCCGAATGCCCCCTGTGAGGTTCAGGAAGTAATTAGATAGAGAGGAAGGAAAAACTGAAAGTGGGGCCCTATCATGTAACAAAAGAGAGACCAGAAAGTCCTCTCCTCCCTCCTTCTTGTCTCTCTTGTGCTCACTTCTCCCCATTTTACTATGTGAGGACCTAGTGATACACAAGCCAGAAAGAGAGCCCCCCCGTCATTGGAGAAACTTCCACCAGTGTGGCCTTCCCAGCTTCCAGAAATGTGAGATTATACTCCTCCTGTTCAAGCCATCTGATCTACGGTTGTTAATGGCAGCATCACCTGATACATGCTTCTTGAAACTCCTTGCTAGTACCCTGTCAGCACTTTCTTCAATACTTTTTTCCAAGCTCTTTTCTCTTGGAATGTCTTCCCATACTGCCACTTCATTACTTCACATCCTCTTACAAGTTTTTCTTCACTTCTATCTATTTACTTTTCCCTCACCTACTTGACAAGCCTTCAAATGATGAAGGTAATTTCCATAATTCTTTACAACTTTATCTCCCCAAAGCACAAGTTCTGTAGTTGTTTCTACCAGTACTCAGCTGATTAATTCCTCTTTGGCTGGAACTATTGGTCCTACACTCCATCTGGCCTGAAGTTTATAGAAAAGATTGATAATAACTGATGACCCCAAAGGGTAATTCACACTGTGTTGAAAGTTGACTTCATTAATTCTGGAATTCCTGATGGACATTTTGAGTGCCAGGAATAAGGAGACTCAAGCGCATCTGAAGTGTACTCTTGTTGTTATGAAAAGTCATAGGAAAAGCTGAGGCAGGTCTTGAAATTACATGTCTTGTGCCCAGCAGGTTTGACTCCTTCCCAAAGGGGGACCCTACAAGCTCTGCGAGCTCACAAGGCTGGTCTGAGGCCGCAAACCCCTGCATCAGCTCAGCCTCACTTTCTTAGAACTCAAGTCTAGCTTTTCCAAATGAGTTTTAGAAAATAAGACTTTCAGATATAAACCAAAGAGCAGCTTCCTAATTTTGAAATCATCAAGCAAGGTATTTTCTTTGCTAATAGCTTCACCTTCTAATCAGTCAACATTTCTTATCCTGTCTCCAAGGGAAAGACTAATCCGATGCTCTTTCACTCCTGCTGGGTGGAAGGTCTCCTTGGCCTGGAGCTGGATGGAAGGCTAGAACATTAGTGTCAATCAACTGCTCACTTACCAGCAAGGAGGCTAAGGCCTGTAAAAAGGAAAAGCATGCCCACTGGCAGAGGAGTTACAACATGATCATAAGCATGGGTACACAGCTTGGCAAGGAACTTACTTGTGCCCTAGGGGAGATCCATTCCATTCCGCAGAGACACAGATTTATTTGTGTTTTATCGCTCCTGTCATTTTCAAATACATTCTTTGATTCGTTGCCTAACGTTTTCTCAGTTTACGAAGAATCCTTCAGAATGTGTTCTCTTATTTGCAAAGGAAGGCGAGTACGGATGGAAGGGAAAGCCAGAGGGAAAGAGAAGATAGGAAGCACACCTTGGTAGCCCAAACCTCTCTTTGCCCTCTGCCTTGTAGGTTGGGCACTGTCCAGGCCTCGGGGCTCCCTACCGCTGCATTCCTTTCCCAACTCACTCTTTCCTATGGCCTTCCACTAGAGCCCAAGGGGTTTACATTTTGCAAACCCTTGCGTGGCTGCCGGCGCTGGGCATGCTCAAACATTCAGGGCTTTTTTTTTTTTTGGCTTGCAACTTTGGCAACCGTCCCACTAACACCCTTAGGGGTAGGAGGTACTGGGGGTCCCGGGCACTAGTCCCGGAGGGAGAGCACCGGGCTCCCACCAAAGTGGGGAGACAGCGCGCTAGCCACACGCGGGGTCGCCAGGAAGGGCAGCCAGACGGGCGCGCGGCCGTCGCAGGGGGCGCTGTCCGAGGGCACGTGCGCGGCCGCGAGCTGGGAGTGGTCGCGGGGCGGGCAGGGGCGGGGCGGCGGCGG